TTTTGAGGTTGGTGAAAGCGCTTTGCTTCAAGGTCTCTGCGAGAGCGAGACGGATTTCTCGTCTTGAGGACTTAAGGCGGCGTGAGGGCATGATGCAGTCCCACGTTAGAGCCTTGACGTCGGGGAGTGCCTGGGATATAGTAGTGATGCAGGCGGGATGAAGTCGTCTTTTGACGTTGCTGAAGTCTTCTCGAAGATCCACGCTGGAGATGGCCCGAACTTGTGCGAGGCCCGACGTGATATTCAATGTTTGGTCGAAGCTGATATACTGGAAGTCGTTACGCACATCCCAAATTGGGCTGCCAGAGTGACTGCTATCCAAGGAGTCAAATAGATCCTCGTCTGTATCCGAAGGAGAAGCGACCCTGACGACGAGAGTGATGTCGCTGGTTTTCCAATCACTCAGAAGTTGGAAAAGATCCATGATGGCTTGGGTAAAGGCAGCGTCGTTGGCGGCAGCTTCGCGGGTACTCTGGAGCTTCTTCATACGCTTCTCGCTAACGGGTGGCAGGTTGATAGTATAGTGAAGCCTCTTGACGATTTCGCGGCGACTGGTGCGGGACCCCGAGAAGTCATCTTGAAACTGTTGCAAAGACTCTTGGCTGCTTGTAACGCTGACATTCTTGAACGTGCCGTCTTCCGATGGCGTGGGTTCAGCCATTTGGACTGCGCTGGCTTGATACTCTCGTAGTGAATGTCTTTTCCTGGCATTTGCGACAAATCGCTTGTAAGCTATTTGTGAGTTGTGTGAAGGATCGAAATGGCTGCCAGACTAGAATGGCTTGCAGAAATCCCTCGAAGAGGGGGTTGCACTGCTGACTAAGAAAAACCCCCTGTTTGCCAAGAATTTCCATCTTGTCTACAACAGGCAGGCAGTCTTCCTTCTTTAACACTTATATCGAACAGACTCCGGAACGCGTCGGAATTTCCCAGAAGGGTAGGGTAGGTGGGTTAACAGGGCCGCATGTCGAATAGTCGTAAATGGTTGTACATGTTTTTATATCTCTACATTTCGATAGCGAATACTTAAGTAGAAAAGTACGTTGAAAAGTAATAGAGGGCACCACTACAAAACATCTTATAACTAAATAGCCGTTTCCGAACGGACAGTCTTATTGTTTATTTGCCCAAACCTTCCGCAGATACTGCTCGGCAGCTGTATAAGAGAGATTTAGGCAACGATTCCACTCATCGGTTACCGACCAGGCCCCTCTTTCGATCCCAAGTAGGTATTCACGTAAAACATTCCTTGAAACAGCTTCGCGCATTGCAACTGGCACGCCGGGATGTTCAATCATTGGGACCCATGTTGTGCTGAATGTGTTGTCTTGCACATCTTTCAGAGACACTCTGTCGACTTGGAAGGGCCCTCCTGTGAGTTGTAAGCAAATATCTCAGTCGATGTCTTTTGGAATAAACTTACCGCGAATCGATTCGCCAAGAGCGATCAAGCCAGCAACATCAATCGTGGATCCACTCATACCACCAATTGTCGGCCATTTTCCTCCGTAGTCCAGGGCATCTGCAACCGTTGCACAAAGATCTTCAACAGTAGTTAGTGTAAATTTGGCAACACTATTGTCAACGATGATTGCCCGTCGTTGCTCAAAGTCCACGAACATGCCGAACATGGCAAAAAGTTGAGTAGTTGCATAGGGATGGGCAAAGTAGTTGGTGAAAAATCCAGGCTGGAAGAGACAATACTCTATGACCTATCATCGCTAAACATTAATTTGCAAGTTCAAGTAGCTGGGCCTCTATATCTATGTTGAAGAGAAACGCTTGCCTCTTTTGAGTGATTTACCTCCTCTAGGTACTTCTGGGTTCGATCCTTGAATTGGTAATGTGCGATCTGGCTCTGGTTCGCACTGCATTTCTGTTATTAGTTGCTTCATCATCAGAGGAGAATAACTCACGCCGCCCATTCTGAGGGTGCAAATCTCCTCACGCCCATCTCAATCGCCGCATCGATCAACTTCTTTTGCACTTCAAATCCTTCGTCACTATCCGCCGTCGCAATAAAGGACAACACAGTGTCAACGCCGCGGAATGTGTTACGAATGGACGATGGATCATCATAATCCACTTGTGCGTATTGTACGTTGTGTTGAGCATCAGTGTCAAGAGCCTAAGCCTTTGTCAGCAACTTAAGATGTGTATGAACATTAGTTACTGACCTTGCGACTACATATAACAAGCGAATGATTTCCTTTCGCTATAACTGTATCAATCACTTCCCGTGCCAAGTCTGCCAGAGTCAGTCCTAGAACCGAGACCAAGCTAAGAAAAAGCAGAACCCTTTCCTTCCGCAACTTGAAGAATTCCACTCACTTCCCGTACCACCAACGATCGCGACTCTTCCCATATTTCCCACAACGGTTTTAGGCAATAACGATGAGTCGAATGTAGGTTTTGTGGGCAATTGAAAACTTTCGCAACTGAAGACCACACTGCTGATCTCCAATCCTTTATCAATTGAACCGGATTCCGCAAGGACTCCGACAATACCGTCTGCCTATTGAAATGTTACGTAGTTAGCAATGCCGGCGACTTTTGGGTCGTTACTCGGGGCAATTCGTGTCCGATAAGCTGATAAATAAAACGCTAGATTCTTTCGTGGAGCAGGACATTCATATGATGGTTCAGGAAGAAGTGGAGCAACTCCACCCTAAAAAGACGACGTTGGGCCCTGAAGAAGTCGGGTTCTCAAGCTGATCTGTTCACTCTCTGCCTAGCTAAAGATATTGATCCGACTGTCTAGGTACGTTATTAAAAGAGGTTGCGCTATGAGCACTGAACTAGCGAGGCTACAATGTAGGTATAGGTATATTATGAACTAAAGCTTAGAGAACCTTTTAGTAAGGGGCTCTGCCCCGTAAAAGGTTAACAAAAAGGGCAACGCAGGCGCTCTACGCCAAGGGGGTTTGATTTTTGGTGCATATACATCGCCTTGGTCGATGTTAGTTGCTCGGATGCTGTAGCGGAAGCGGCTACCAGACCGACTGAGGCGAGAAGCTCCGCTGCGCCCGACGGCTGTCAGTCAAGGGACCAACGCGGTAAATAATCATCAACGGTTCTGCCTCTTGGCTGCATATCTAGGTCAGTGCATCCCGCAGCTCAAGGTGAGACGACCGGCGTCCATTCTGCTGACATGCCTGCTCCAGTTCAACAGGGCGACGTTGGCTGTGGCAAGCAGGCTAGACCACCCGCCAGCGAGAACGAGAGGTTGCCGGGGCCTGTTTATATCCGTAGCCTGCCCATTGCCGCGCTTCTTATTATGGCACTCTTCTGCTCAATTAACAGGAGGATGCCGCATTAGAACTTTACTCTGCTACTCCCACGACATCAACAATGTACACTAGAAATGAGTTCGCCAATTCGGGCAATGGTGGCCAATTCCCAACGACTACCCAGTACGCTGGAAGCTGCAATTAGTCCTACCATTAGATGCCCTGATGTGTGGCTGGCCATCGACGTGATTCGTGGGCTCGGACTCCTGGCTGACGTGAGGTTGGCGACGTGGATCTGAAAGGGGTACGTTAATCACACCTCGATTGGTTCAGAGCGTTGTGACTTTTTCGTTGTCCAATCATCAGCGATGCCATACAGGTCCAGATTTTGAAGAAAGCCTTGGGCATAGCCAGCAGGGCGTCAGTACGCCTGAGGATCGTTGCAGGGTATCTTATTGGTCGCCTGGTTGATCCTTTATGTGTAGGGCAAACAGAAGACGGGTATAGTGTCAGGCGACAGCTTGGCAGCCAGCAATAGTGTGCATATCGGTCTATTTCCTACTAAGCGAGTGGGGTGTTGTTGTTGTTGTTGTTGTTGTTGTTAATACGTCTTTCTAACCTAAAGTAATAAACAGAACAAGGTTTCAAGGCATGATGCCTATATCCCTCATTGCGATAGGGAATCGAGCAAGGGTTGAATGCATGACTCGGATGTACAATGTCCAGGTCTGACATATAGATGTGTTAGACCTTCTTCAAATTGTGCTTCATTCAAATCAAACCACTTCACCCTAAGTACGATCGCGACCGCAATATTGCACGACAGAGGCTTCCGTCTCCTCTACGAAATTTAGAGGCAAGCTATTCCTTCGCATTTACTTGAGATGTCTACCCGACGGAGCAACGACTTCCCAGTCTCGCCGATTCTTCCGGAGGAGACATCCTACGCGGATCCAGAACAACATACACCAGAGAGGAATCTAGAACGGCCTGCCGGGGCTGAACCGGGCGTTTCCGAAACCGTCGTGTCACCCTCTTCTCCACTCAGTGACCGAAATCATGAGGAGGGGTCTAGACCAGTTGCGACCGAAGACAAGACACCTGAGAGCAGCCCGTCCAACTTTCGCAAAAACAATAAAACCGCAGTGTCTACAATCCTTGTCGATTGCACCGCTGTTGTTTTCCCTATAGCGGGTATCGTGTTTGTAATACTTGTCTGGCGCCTTGATGGTGCTGCAGTCGGCGAAAGATTCGACGCATAGCAGAATGCTATTAAAGTGGTAGATTTACCCGCTCTCTCGGCTTTCAGAGCTTTCATCGGCTGGGGCATATCAGAGAGCTCGCCGCTAACCTTCGTATTTCCAAAAGGTCTCAACTTTATTTCCAATCCTCTTCGCTTCCGTCGTCGGTCGGTTGATGTTCGAATCCGCGCGATGGAAGCTAGAAAAGGGAGGGAGCTTGGGCTCTCTGGAGCAGCTCATGGGAAGCAGAACGGTCGGGTCTACCCTCTGGACTGTTATTCAGTTCCGGACAGTAAACCTACTAGCAGCGGCGTTAGTGCTTGTCTGGGCATTTTCGCCTCTTGGGGCACAAGCGATCCTGCGCATGTTGAATTCCCGCAGCCGCACTGACAGCCGTTCCGTAACCATCGCCTCTTTCGACAACCTATCTCGGTCTTAGTTTGCTTCGATGGTATCAGTTGGTGGCGTCAGTGGCGGTCAGAACCGAGGTTTACTCGAAGATATCGCGAATATTTACACTATCGTCATCATGGAACCACGGAGCAACAAGCTCGACGCAGTGGATTTATGGGGGAATGTGAAAATCCCTATGATGGACTCAGATGCTACCGATGGATGGAACAAGGTAGCCGGCGATATCAACAAGATCCAGTATTCATCCTTAGTTGGGATCCCCGTCAGTTACGACAATCTTGGAGACGCAACATTCTCGCTCGAGTCTAGTTACCTTGATCTTGAATGCCCAGAGGCCGACCGCTTTCTCGGGGGAGAACTCAGGTATGCACCAAAATGGTCAAATGTTACAGACGTGTTTATCAGTCCCACGACGGGGTCGAATAACCCCAGGACAGACAAATACCCCAACGGAACGTGGCACGGGTATGACCACCGCAGGAACACCAGTGACTCGGGATATCCCCAATGGGGCATCGCAGTGGACAGGTTCGTCGATCGTTTCTGGTTTGACGACGAGTCGCCGCGGCCGGAGAGCTACGACAACCCGTACCTAGACTGTCCGATCGTGTTTACCAACGAAACAGGCATGGACTTCAGTCCCGCAAAGCTCCTCCTTCGGCTATCCCTGAGGGCCAGCTCGATCCAATACTGGATGATGGACGAAATTGAAATCACATGCCACATGAGTCAGAAATATGTCGAGTCTCGCATTAGCTGCTCAAACGAAAATGACAAACATCGATGCAAGGTGGTCGAACAGCGACGGTCCGAGAAGCGGCATTCTCCAGAAAGCATATCGCACCTGTCATTTCCACGAGCCTTCAACTACATTGCTAGAGACTTACCTGCCGCGACGGGCAAGCAGCTCGCCGATGCAACCGACCCCTCTGTATTCTATCTTGCACACCCGATGTCTGTGAATATCTCGGGATTTCCAGATGTCAAGATGGACCAACTCGACCTGCGCACAGTCGGGCCACGGCTTAGCCAGTTAATCAACACGTATATAGCTATCGGCCAGCGACCATACAGTATCGAGGATAATAACTTGGCACTTACCATCACTTCCTTGGGAGAAACTACTACTATATTGAAGGTATTTGACGTTTCAAAGGGATGGATAGTGTTCGCTTTGCTTTCTGCTCTAGTTCTTTTTGGCGGGGGCGTATTAAGCGTTGTTTTTGCCCACTTGGCATGCGGTCCTGAGTTTCTAGGTTACGTGTCGTCCGTTGTCCGAAACTCAAAGTTTATTGACTTGCCCTCGGACACAACCTGGCTAGACAGCTCGGATGTTACAAAACAGGCAAAGGCATTGCGGATAAGGCTTGGAGTTACACGCGAGGTAACGACAGGGGAACTAGGAATTACGATCGGGCATCAAAATAAAATAGAACATATTAAAGGATACGTTCTAAATAAATAATAAAGGCTAGCGTATAATATATATATTATTTATAGGGTTTTCTTTTTATTTACTTAAATAAAATATTCTTAAGTCTTTAAAAGTATAGTATTATTATATTATAATAAGCTTAATATATACGACTTTTACCTCCTAATAGAGCAATCCGCCGGGGCCGTATTATATATTACGTATTAAAGAAAACTAGGTATATTACGCTCTATACTTAATAACTAATTAAAATAGTAGTTAACTAACGTAATCGTTATTTCTTTTAATTAAAAGTAGTTCTTAACTTTTTATTACCTATTTAGAGGGCGAGCTATACTTATTTTAATATATATAAGACTTTTTAATACTAACTTATATAAGTAGCTAAATCTTATATTATTTACTTTTTCTTATTAAGTATTAAAGAACCCCTTATATATTCTCTTATATCTATAAAATAGGCTAAATAGGCTTAGGTTTAGGAAATTTTAAAAATTTTATATACTTTTTATTTAAAAATAAGGTATATTTTAAAAAAGCGGGAAATTAATAAAGGTATTATTATATTATAACTAATAAGTTATTATTCTTTAATATATATAAATAAACTATTTTTCTTTAATTATAAGATATAATATTACTTTATTACCATAGCTATTAAATATTATTTTATTACTATAGCTACTGAATATTATTTTATTATTATAGCTATTTAATATTATTTTACTACTATAGCCGCTTAATATTAATAAATAAAAGTTTTTCTTAATAGTTTAATATAAATAAAAAGTAGTAAATAAGCTTATTATTACGACCTAATATATATAACTAAGACCAGGGTCCGCCCCGCAGGCCTGCGGTAAGTACGGTATATTATATATATAAAAAGTAAGAACGTAAAGTAACTTTTATAAAATAAAAGAACTATAAATAAGTTATATATAAATAAGAAGCAATAATTACGTAATAAGGTTATTACTATAATTACTTTATATAATTACTTACTAATATTTACTTAGTAATTACTTAATAAATAAGAGTAATTATTAATAAAAGATATATTTATACGCGGACTTATATATTAAGTAGGCTAAATAGGCTTAGGTTTAGGAAATTTTAAAAATTTCGTATACTTTTTATTTAAAAATAAACTATTAAGTAGGCTAAATAGGCTTAGGTTTAGGAATTTTTAAGAATTTCGTATACTTTTTATTTAAAAAAAGGTATATTTTAAAAAAACGAGAAATTAATAAAAGTATTACTATATTATAACTACTTAGTTATCACTTTTTAATATATATAAATAAATTATTTTTTTTACTTATAAAATATAATATTACTTAACTACCGTGGCTATTAAATATTACTTTACTACCGTAGCTACTTAATTAAGTAGGCTAAATGGGCTTAGGTTTAGGAATTTTTAAGAATTTCGCATACTTTTTATTCGAAAATAAGGTATATTTTAAAAAAGCGAGAAATTAATAAAAGTATTACTATATTATAACTACTTAGTTATTACTTTTTAATATATATAAATAAATTATTTCTTTTACTTATAAAATATAATATTACTTAACTACCGTGGCTATTAAATATTACTTTACTACCGTAGCTACTTAATATTACTTTACTACCGTAGCTACTTAATATTACTTTACTACCATAGCCGCCTAATATTAATAAAAAAAAGTTTTTTTAAATAATTTAATATAAATAAAAATAAGTAAATAAGTTTACGGAATTCTTTGAGCTATTAAGTAATTACTAAAAAAAATTAAATAAAACTTAAGAAATTCTTTTATTTAAGAAGTAATGCCTAAAAAATCTTTTATTTAATAAGTAATAACTGAAAAAATTAATTAAAATTTTAAATTTTTTTCGTTCGCTAGGTTGTGAATAAAAGAATTAAGTACTTATAAATTCTTTTATTTACTAGGTTGTTAATAAAAAAATTAAGTACTTATAAATTCTTTTGTTCGCTAGGTTATTAATAAAAGAATTAAGTACTTATAAATTCTTTTATTTATTAAGTTATTAATAAAAGAATCGAGTATTTATAAATTCTTTTGTTCGCTAGGTTGCTAACGAAAGAATCGAGTATTTATAAATTCTTTCGTTCGCTAAGTTACTAACGAAAAAATCGAGTCTTTATAAATTCTTTTATTCGCTAGGTTATAAATAAAAGAATTGAGTACTTATAAATTCTTTTGTTTGCTAAGTTATTAATAAAAAAATTAACTAAAATTTTAAAATTCTTTTGTACGCTAGGTCGTAAATAAAAGAATTAATTAAAATCTTAAGTTAATTAAAATCTTAAAATTCTTTTATTCGCTAGGTCGCTAACGAAAGAATTAACTAAAATTTTAAAATTCTTTTATATACTAAGTTGCGAACGAAAGAATTAATTAAAATCTTAAGTTAATTAAAATCTTAAAATTCTTTTATTCGCTAGGTCGTAAATAAAAGAATCGAGTACTTATAAATTCTTTCGTTCGCTAGGTTATTAATAAAAGAATTAACTAAAATCTTAAGTTAACTAAAATCTTGAAATTCTTTCGTGCGCTAGGTTACTAATAAAAGAATTAACTAAAATTTTAAAATTCTTTTATACGCTAGGTTATTAATAAAAGAATTAACTAAAATCTTAAAATTCTTTTATTCGCTAGGTTATTAATAAAAGAATTAACTAAAATTTTGAAATTTTTTTATACGCTAAGTTACGAACAAAAGAATTAATTAAAATCTTAAGTTAATTAAAATTTTAATATTTTTTTATTTGCTAAGTCGTAAACGAAAGAATCGAGTATTTATAAATTCTTTTATTTGCTAGGTTATTAATAAAAAAATCGAGTATTTATAAATTCTTTTGTTCGCTAGGTCGCTAATAAAAGAATTTAGTATTTATAAATTCTTTTATATACTAAGTCGTAAATAAAAGAATCGAGTCTTTATAAATTCTTTTATTCGCTAGGTCGTAAATAAAAGAATTAAGTATTTATAAATTCTTTCGTTCGCTATATAGTAAACGAAAAAATCTAGTATTTATAAATTCTTTTGTACGCTAGGTTACGAACGAAAAAATTAACTAAAATCTTAGTAATCCTTTTAGTTACTAAGTATTAGATAAAAGAATTAACTAAAATCTTAGTAATCCTTTTAGTCGCTAGGTATTAGATAAAATAATTAACTAAAATTTTAAAATTCTTTTGTCCGTTACGTAGTAACTAATAAAAATAAGTTAACTTATAAAAATAATAGCCTAACGTAACGTAACGCGATTCTAACTAATTAAACTTAAAAGTAATTAAACTTAAAATAAAAAATAAATAGAACATAAGTTATAAAAAGCACTTACTATTAAAAAGACTTTAAAGATTAATAAAAAGTATTTTACTAAAATATTATAACGTATATTTTATTTAGGTTAGGACGGGCGTTATAATATATAAAAAGTAATTATTATTTTTTAAAAGTTAAAAATAAGAACGAGGTACGCGTTACGATAAAAGACGCTAATAAGTATAGATTTTAGTAATTATATTATCGGCTTTATATAAAATATAGTCGGGTTATTAAAGAGTAGCTATAACTACGTTTTATTAAATTAAAAAGCCCTTTTAACTACGATATTATATTTTCTTTAAGAAGATAGATTATCTAAAGTAACTCCCCCCTTTTTAATATAAATAAGAATATATATAAAACTAAATAGTTTTATAACCCTAATACCCTTCTTAATTATTATATATAAATAGGATAAAATATAATTAAGTTAATTAATATAGTTATAATAATAATAAACTTATAACTATAGTATTAAATATTTTAAAATAAAACTTTATAAATATCTTATTTATTAAATGCTAATTATAAGAATTAGCTAAAATCTCGGAAAGTTAAGGTTAGTAAGTAGTAACCAAAAGAATTGGGCAAAATCTTAGTAATTCTTTCGTTCGCTATATAGTGTATAAAAGAATTAACTAAAATACTAAAATTCTTTTGTTCGCTATATAATATATAAAAGAATTAACTAAAATCTTAAATTAACTAAAATTTTAAATTAACTAAAATCTTAAAATTCTTTCGTTCGCTATATTATAAACGAAAGAATTAACCAAAATCTTAAATTAACCAAAATCTTAAATTAACTAAAATCTTAAATTAACCAAAATCTTAAAATTCTTTCGTTCGCTATATAATAAATAAAAGAATTTAGTATTTATAAATTCTTTTGTTTATTAAGTTACGAATAAAAGAATCTAGTATCTATAAATTCTTTTATTCGTTATATTATAAACGAAAGATAAAATAGTATACCCCCTTTATTATTACTATACTACCGTAGCTACTTAATATTATTTTATAATAAAAGAGTCCTTTTTTTTTTTAATAATAGAACTTTAATTACCTTATAGTAAATAATTAAAATAAGGAAGGATTTTATAAACTTTATAAAAATCTTTATATAATAGAGGTTAGCCCTAATAGTATTTATATAGTAGCCGATATATCTTACCTAAACTATTTATCGTATTATTTAGGACCTCTAGATATATAAATAGATTCGCTACTATATTTCTATAGTTTATTTATTAATTACGCTCTTACCTAAGCTAACTAATAAAAGGGCGAATTAAGTTTTTAGGAAGTTTAGTTATATTATTAAGTCTCCTAATATACGTTTTAATAATAGTAGTAATTTTATAATAACGTACTTCTTTATATCGTTTCCGTATTATTCTAGTATTTAACGATCTCTTAGTATTAAAAAATATTAACTATCTAGGGTTCTTTTTATTTAGGCTAGTATTTATAACGCTCTTTTATAAATAGTATAAAATTTAGTTTTAGTAGTTCTTAATAGACTTACTACTCTAAGTAAAACTTTATAAATTAGAGATATAAAATAAGAGTTCGTTTAGGTTTTATAATACCTAATTTATTAAGACTGTTATATAAATATAGTCGTAATAGTTCTTATATATATCGTAGTTAGTATTAAAGTTTATAATAAAGTTAATTAAAGTATTTATAAGTTTTTATTTTATAAGTATAAACTAATTTCGGGCTTAGTTATATAAATAGCTAGCGGATATGCGCACGAGCGGGTATAACTTTTTTTTATTATCTAGGTCTCTTATTATTAGTTTTAAAAATATAAAAGCGGAGATAATTATATTTATTATAATTCGAACTTTATTATGGGTAAGATGCGCTACTAAATAAGTAACTATAATACTATTAAAGTTATTTATAATATTTATAATTTTAAAAGTATATAGCTTAGTAAATAAGTTATATATATTAATACCGCTCATTACGTATTTAAGCTATTAAGTAAGCTAAATAGGCTTAGGTTTAGGAAATTTTAAGAATTTCGCATACTTTTTATTCAAAAAGAGGGTATATTTTAAAAAAGCGAGAAATTAATAAAGGTATTACTATATTATAACTACATAGTTATTATTTTTAATATATATATATATATTATTTTTTTTTAATTATAAAATATAATATTACTTTACTACCGTAGTTACTAAATATTACTTTACTACCGTGGCTACTTAATATTATTTTACCACCGTGGCTACTTAATATTACTTTACTACCGTGGCTACTTAATATTACTTTACTACTATAGCCGCTTAATATTACTTCACTACTATGGCCGCTTAATATAAATAAAAAAAAGTTTTTTAAATAATTTAATATAAATAAAAATAAGTAAATAAGTTTACGGAATTCTTTAAGCTATTAAGTAATTACTAAAAAAAATTAAATAAAACTTAAGAAATTCTTTTATTTAATAAGTAATGCCTAAAAGATCTTTTATTTAATAAGTAATAACTAAAAGAATTAACTAAAATCTTGAAATTCTTTCGTTCGCTATGTGGTAAACGAAAGAATTAACTAAAATCTTAAATTAATTAAAATTTTAAAATTCTTTTGTTCGTTAGGTTACTAATAAAAGAATCGAATACTTATAAAATTTTTCGTGCGCTAGGTTGTAAACGAAAAAATTAATTAAAATCTCGAAATTCTTTTGTTCGCTAGGTTGTAAATAAAAGAATCGAGTATTTATAAATTCTTTTGTACGCTAGGTTGTGAATAAAAGAATTAACTAAAATCTCGAAATTCTTTTGTTTGCTAGGTTGTTAATAAAAGAATCGAGTACTTATAAATTTTTTTGTGCGCTAAGTTGCGAACGAAAGAATTAATTAAAATTTTAAGTTAATTAAAATTTTAAAATTCTTTTGTTCGCTAGGTCGTAAATGAAAAAATCGAGTACTTATAAATTTTTATATATGCTAGGTTGCGAATAAAAGAATTAATTAAAATCTTAAGTTAACTAAAATTTTAAAAATTTTTTGTACGCTAAGTTACGAACGAAAGAATCGAGTACTTATAAATTCTTTTGTTCGCTAGGTTGCGAATAAAAGAATTAATTAAAATTTTAAAATTCTTTTGTTCGCTAGGTTGCTAATAAAAGAATCGAGTACTTATAAATTTTTTTGTACGCTAGGTTACGAACGAAAGAATTAATTAAATTTTAAGTTAACTAAAATCTTAAAATTCTTTTGTATACTAGGTCGCGAACGAAAGAATTAAGTATTTATAAATTCTTTTGTTTGCTAAGTTATAAATAAAAGAATTGAGTACTTATAAATTTTTTTGTACGCTAAGTCGTGAATAAAAGAATTAATTAAAATTTTAAAATTCTTTTGTTTGCTAAGTTGTAAATAAAAGAATTGAGTACTTATAAATTTTTTTATACGCTAGGTTATAAATAAAAGAATTAACTAAAATCTCGAAATTCTTTTATTTACTAAGTCGCTAATAAAAAAATCGAGTATTTATAAATTTTTTTATATACTAAGTTGCGAATAAAAGAATTTAGTACTTATAAATTTTTTTATACGCTAGGTCGCGAATAAAAAAATTAATTAAAATCTTAATAATCCTTTTAGTTACTAAGTATTAGATAAAAGAATTAACTAAAATCTTAGTAATCCTTTTAGTTACTAAGTATTAAATAAAATAATTAACTAAAATCTTAAAATTCTTTTATCCGTTACGTAGTAACTAAAAGTATATAGCAAACTTATAATATTCTTTGTCCGTTACGTAATAACTAAAAGAATTATATAAACTTACTATATTCTTTCGTCTATTACGTAATAACCGATAGAAATAAGTTAACTTATAAAAATAATAGCCTGACGCAACGTAACGCGATTCTAATTAATTAAACTTAAAAGTAATTAAACTTAAAATAAAAAATAAATAGAACATAAGTTATAAAAAGCACCTATTATTAAAAAGACTTTAAAAATTAATAGAAAGTATTTTACTAAAATATTACGACGTATATTTTATTTAGGTTATTACGGGCGTTATAACGCGTAAAAAGTAGTTATTATTTTTTAAAAATTAAAAATAAGAGCGAGGTATGCGTTATAATAAAAAACGCTAGCGAGTATAAATCTTAGTAATTATATTATCGGTATTACGTAGGATATAGTTGAGCTACGGGAGGCTAAGTAGCTATAACTACGTTTTATTAAATTAGAAGTCCCCTTTAACCGCGATATTATATTTCCCTTAAGAAAATAGATCGTTTAAAATAACTCCCCCTTTTTTAATATAAATAAAAATATATATAAGGCTAGATAGTTTTATAACCCCAATACCCTTCTTAGCTATTATATATAAATAGGATAAAATATAATAAAGTTAATTAATACGGTTATAATAATAATAAACTTATAAATATAGTATTAGATATTTTAAAATAAAACCTTATAAATATCTTATTTACTAAATACTAATTATAAGAATTAGCTAAAATCTCGGAAAGTTAAGGTTAGTAAGTAGTAACTAAAAGAATTAAGTAAAATCTCGAAGTTTTTTTAGTCGTTAAGTAGTAACTAAAGGGTTTAAGCAAATTTATAACATTCTTTCGTCCGTTAGGTAGGTAAATTCTAAAAAACGTTTCGGCCGTTAAGTAGTATACGAAAGAATTAACTAAAATCTTAGTAATTCTTTCGTTCGCTATGTAGTATATAAAAAAATTGGGCAAAATCTTAGTAATTCTTTTGTTTGCTATATAGTATACGAAAGAATTAACTAAAATCTTAAATTAACTAAAATCTTAAAATTCTTTTGTTCGCTATGTAGTGAACGAAAAAATTAACTAAAATCTTAAATTAACTAAAATTTTAAATTAATTAAAATCTTGAAATTTTTTCGTTTGCTATGTGGTATACAAAAGAATTGACTAAAATATTAAAATTCTTTTGTTTACTATATAGTGTACAAAAGAATTAACTAAAATTTTAACTTAAGTAAAATCTTAAATTAACTAAAATCTTAAATTAATTAAAATTTTAAAATTCTTTCGTTCGCTATGTTGTGAATAAAAGAAGTAATTAAAATTTTAAGTTAACTAAAATCTTAAATTAATTAAAATTTTGAATTAACTAAAATCTTAAATTAACTAAAATTTTAAAATTCTTTTGTTTACTATATCGTAAACGAAAGAATCTAGTACCTATAAATTCTTTTGTTTGCTATATCGTAAATAAAAGAATTAACTAAAATCTTAAAATTTTTTTGTTTACTATATAGTGTATAAAAGAATTTAGTACTTACAAATTCTTTCGTTCGCTATATTATAAATAAAAGAATTAACTAAAATTTTAACTTAACTAAAATTTTAAATTAACTAAAATCTTAAATTAATTAAAATCTTAAAATTCTTTCGTTCGCTATGTTATAAACGAAAGAAGTAATTAAAATCTTAAGTTAACTAAAATTTTGAATTGACTAAAATTTTGAATTGACTAAAATCTTGAATTAATTAAAATTTTAAATTAACTAAAATCTTGAATTGATTAAAATCTTGAAATTCTTTTGTTCGCTATGTTGTGAACGAAAGAATTTAGTACTTATAAATTCTTTCGTTCGTTATATTGTGAACGAAAGAATTAACTAAAATTTTAAAATTCTTTTGTTTGCTATGTAGTAAACGAAAGAATTTAGTATTTATAAATTCTTTTGTTCGCTATATAGTATACGAAAGAATCTAGTACTTATAAATTCTTTCGTTCGCTATATCGTAAACGAAAGATAAAATAGTATACCCCCTTTATTATTACTATACTACCGTAGCTACTTAATATTATTTTATAATAAAAGAGTCCTTTTTTTCTTTAATAATAGAATTTTAATTACTTTATAGTAAATAACTAAAATAAAGAAGAATCTTATAAACTCTATAAGAATCTTCGTATAATAAAGGTTAGTTCTAATAGTATTTATATAGTAGCCGATATATTTTACCTAAACTATCTATCGTATTATTTAGGACCTCTAAATACGTAAACAGATTTGCTACCGCATTTTTATAGTTTATTTATTAATTACGCTCTTACCTAAGCTAATTAATAAAAGGGCAAATTAAGTCTTAGGAGAGTTTAGTTACGTTATTAAGTCTCCTAGTATACGTCTTAATAACGATAATAATTCTATAATAACGTACTTTTTTATA